ACTTGCTCAACATCAGAGAATCCACACTGGAGAGAAACCTTATGAATGTAATCAATGTGGAAAGGCCCTCTGTTCTAGGTCCAGTCTTGCTGCACACCAGAGAATTCACACTGGAGAGAAACCTTATCAATGTGATCAATGTGGAAAGGCTTTCACAAAGAGCTCATTTCTTGCTGCACATCAGAGAATCCACACTGGGGAGAAACCTTATGAATGTAATCATTGTGGAAAGGCTTTTAGAAGTACCTCTGATCGTTCTGTACATCAGAGAATCCACACTGGGGAGAAACCTTATGAATGTAATCATTGTGGAAAAGCTTTCAGACAAAACTCCCAACTTGCTCAACATCAGAGAATCCACACTGGGGAGAAACCTTATGAATGTAATCACTGTGGAAAGGCTTTCAGACTAAACTCCCAACTTGCTTTACATCAGAGTATTCATAGTGGAGAGAAACCTTATCAATGTGATCAATGTGGAAAAGCTTTCACACACAGCTCATTTCTTGGTGCACATCAGAGAATCCACAGTGGAGAGAAACCTTATGAATGTAATCAATGTGGAAAGGCTTTCAGAGTGAACTCCAAACTTGCTGAACATCAGAGAATCCACACTGGAGAGAAACCTTATGAATGTCATCAATGTGGAAAGGCTTTCAGAGTGAACTCCAAACTTGTTGAACATCAGAGAATCCACACTGGAGAGAAACCTTATGAATGTCATCAATGTGGAAAGGCTTTCAGAGTGAACTCCAAACTTGCTGAACATCAGAAAATTCACACTGGAGAGAAACCTTATCAATGTGATCAATGTGGAAAGGCTTTCACACAGAGCTCATTTCTTGCTGCACATCAGAGAATTCACACTGGGGAGAAACCTTATGAATGTGATAAATGTGGAAAAGCTTTCACTCAGAGCTCCACTCTTGCTGCACATCAGAGAATTCACACTGGAGAGAAACCTTATCAATTTGATCAATGTGTAAAGGCTTTCAGACTAAACTCCCAGTTTGCTCTATGTCAGAGAATTCACACTGGGGAGAAACACTATGAATGTAATCAATGTGGAAAGACTTTCAGACAGAACTCCAAACTTGCTCAACATCTGAGAATCCACACTGGAGAGAAACCTTATAAATGTAATCATTGTCAAAAGACTTTTAGAAGTATCTCTAATTATTCTGTACATCAGAGAATCCACGCTGGGGAGAAACCTTATGAATGTAATCAATGTGAAAAGCCTTTCAGATTAAACTCCCAACTTGCTGTACATCAGAGAGTCCATACTTGAGAGAAAACTAATGTGATAAAACTTTTTTATGTACACTCTCACCTTACTATAGAAATCTGATGAAAGAAAAGGCCAAGAGACATAATTTCTGCACAATCATTTCATTAATTATGGCTAATGAATAATTAATAAAAGGATGGTCATTTAGCTATCTCTTGTAAATCGAAGATGAATCATGGAGGCATATCATCACTTATATGCCCGTAGAGAAGTGGGTATTACCAAGTGGAATAAATCAACTCTGATTAAAAATTAATGAGACTGAATATTATAATATGAGGTGGACTTGTCCTTTTTTCAAATTAACTTATTTTGAATTATCAACAATCACTTCCATAAGCTTTTGAGTTTTAAATTCTTCTCCCCCTCCCTCTCTAGGTCCCTCTCCAAGAAGGCACATAATCTGATATAGGCTATACATATACATTGTTATTAAACATATTTTCACATTAGTGATGTAGTAAATAAGAATTAGAACCAATAGAAGGAACCACTAGAAAGAGGGAACAAAACACAACAGAAGAAAAAATAGCAAATAGTATGCTTCCATCTGCATTCAAACTCCATGGTTCTTTCTTTGGATGTGGACAGCATTTTTCATCATGAGGCCCTTGGGGATATCTTAGATCCTTGTATTGCTGAGAAGGGTCAAGTCTATCAATATTCGTCATTACACAATGTGGCTGTGTACAATGTTCTCCTGGTTCTGCTCATTTCACTCAGCATCAGAGCATACAAGTCTTTCCAGGTTTTTCTGAAATCAGCCTGTTCCATTACATTCATATACCACAACTTGTTGAGACATTCCCCAATTGTTGGGCATCCTCTCAATTTCCAACTCTTTGCCACCACAAAAAGAGCTACTATAAATATTTTTGTACATGTGGGTCCTTTTCACATTTGTGTGATCTTTTTGGGATATAGCCCTAGAAGTCCTCTTGCTGGGTCAAAGGGTATGCACATTTTGATAACCCTTTGGGCATAGTTCCAAATTGCTCTCCAAAATGATTGGGTCATTTCACAACTCCACCAACAATGCATTAGTGTTCCAATTTTCCCACATCTTCTCCAACATTTACCATTTTCCTGTTTTGTCATGTTGGCCAATCTGATAGATGTGATGTGGTACCTCAGAGTTGTTTTGATTTGCATTTCTCTAATCAATAGTGATTTAGAGCATTTTTTCATATGACTATAGATGGCTTTAATTTCTTCATCTGAGAACTGCCTATTCATATCCTTTGACCAAGAGGTGGACTTATTCTAATGAGGGGCTGGGGGACATTACTCATCACTCAATTATGGACCAAGAGACTTAGCTCTATCCACAGCACCCTTGCCTAAAGCAATCTAGACAAAAGAGGGCATCCACTTCACCTAGACTAAAATCTCTTTATCTTTTGGTTATATCTAAACTTTCCCAGTTGGCTAAGTCTTTCCCAAGATTTCATCTCATCATCAGCCCTGCCCTTCAAAGATTGTCTGAATCACCTCATGTCTGATTCCTGAATGAGGAAATAGAAAGGGGGGAAAAGCTTAGTTCTAATTCAATAATTGGTTATTGATTTGAGAGAAATAACCATTTGTCTCACATCAGAGAATCTATTCTAGAGGACATACCTCATTAATGTAATCAACATGGAAATTGTTCAGTTTAAAGTCATCCCTCATTTCCCATCAGAATTCACGTGGGATAGAAACCATATTCCCCATAATGAGTGTGAAAAGACATTCAGATGGACTATACAGCTTGTTAGACATCAGAAATTTCACCTTGTGAACAACTCCTATCTGCACTCATTTGCAAAGGTCTGTAGCCAGAGATCATCTCTTCCTTTGCATCAAGGAATCTTCATGGAGAGAAGACATGAATGTGCTCAATGAGGTCCTACCTTTTCTTGAAAGATGCAGGTCACTAAACTGGAAGGAAGCCTTATAAAAGCAGTAATTGTGGGAAGGTCATATGTGTGGGTACATATATAAAATATATAGATAAAACTTATGGATCTAAGTAATGAGGTCTGACATCTCCCTGCAGCACAGCCTCATGAGACACCAGAAATGTCATATTGTGCACAAAACCCTAAAAATGGGTTGAATTTTGCTCTGAAATCCCAAGGTTTCTCCTGACTTTCTTAAAATATTCCATGACCCCCTAGGATGAAGCTTGCCAAGAAGACAGAGTAAAATCAATGACTTGCTTGAGCTCTCCCCCAAACTCCTCCAAATACCTACAAAAATGACTGAGCAAATCCTAAAGCAACAGAACTCACAAAAAGACAGAGTGAAAGAAATTTTCAGCCCAAGACAACCTGGATGGTTCATCTGAAAGGTTTATCATGCCGGGCGGGGAGAGGAGTGCAGTTTGGTGTGGGCATGCAGGCTTCAGTGAACCTGGAGCAGGCCTTTGAGCATGGAAGCATCACAGTTGTAGCAGTTTCCAGACTTCTCAACCCATGAACACCAATGACAACTTAGAAGGTCAATGGGAAAAGTCTGTGTCTGTGGTGGTGAGAGAGAAGTGTGGTCGCTGTCCCAACTCCAGTCCCAGAGCCTGGCCCCAGGCCGGCAGCTGCTTCCAGAACTTCTGTCCCACAGACTGAGGGGGAATCAAGTGACTGATCAGAGGGGGATTGCAAGGATCTCTTTGCTGGTGCAGGATTCTCTTGTTTTGCCCATGTTTGGATCTGGGTCACAGTTCTGGGTGGTGCTCTTGTGGCCAGGAGGAACACTGTAGTGGTGGAGCTTGTAGTGGCTGTGGAGAGAGAATCCTCCTCATAGTTTCAAGACCAAAAAAGAGTTGCTTGTGGTCACTCATAGACCAGAGCACAGGCCAGTAAAGGAGTAAACACCTTGCCCTTGATCATAGCACCTTGGAAGAACTGAAAATTCACAAGTCCCTCGAAGTATCACTAAAAACAGCTGCAGAAAACCCTTGAAGCTTGGGACAGTACATTCTCCATATTGGAAACAGACCCCTACCTTAACAAAGAGTTTATAACTCAAGTAATTGGCTGGGATTATGAGCAAGCAGTGCAAAAAGAGTAAGACCATAGAATCTTACTTTGGTGACAAAGAAGATCAAAACATACAACCAGAAGAAGACAACAAAGCCAAAGCTCCTACATCCAAAGCCCCCAAGAAAAATATGAATTGGTCCCAGGCCATGGAAGAGCTCAAAAAGGATTTTGAGAAGCAAGTAAGATAAGTAGAGGAAAAACTGAGTGATGCAAGAAAATCATGAAAAGCAAGTCAACAGCTTGCTAAAGGAGACCCAAAAAATTCTGAAGAAAATGACACCTTAAAAAATAGCCTAACCAAAATGGCAAAAGAGGTCCAAAAAGCCAATGAGGAGAAGAATACCCTAAAAAGTGAAATTGGCCAAATGGAAAAGGAAGTCCAAAAGTTTACTGAAGAGAATACTTCCTTAAAAATTAGAATGGAGCAATTGGAAGCTAGTGACTTTATGAGAAATCAAGATACTGTAAAATAAATCTAAAAGAATAAAGAATATAAGGGAATGTGAAATATCTCATTGGAAAAGCAACTGGCCTGGAAAATAGATCTAGGAAAGATCATTTAAAAATTATTGGACTATCTGAAAGCTATGATTAAAAAAAGAGCCTAGATATCATCTTTCAAGAAATTATCAAGGAAAACTGCCCTGGTATGTTAGAACCAGAGGGCAAAATAGAAATTGAAAGAATCCACCGATCACCTCCTGAAAGAGATCCCCAAAGCAAAACTCCTAGGAATATTGTAGCCAAATTCCAGAGGTCCTAGGTCAAGTAGAAAATATTGCAAACATCCAGAAACAAACAATTCAAGTATTGTGGAAACACAATCAGGATAGCGCAAGATTTAGCAGGTTCTACATTAAGAGACTGGAGGGCATGGAGTATGACATTCTGGAGGGCAAAGGAGATAGGACTACAACCAGGAATCACCTACCCAGCAAAACTGAGTCTAAGCCTTCAGGGGAAAAAATGGTCATTCAGTGAAATAGGGGATTTTCAAGCGTTCTTGATGAAAAGACCAGAGGTCAATAGAAAATTAGACTTTCAAATACAAGACTCAAGTGAAACATGAAGAGGTAAACAGGAAAGAGAAATCATAAGAGACTTATTAAGGTTGAACTGTTTATATTCCTGCATGGAAAGATGACATTTGTAACTCATGAGTCCTTTGTCAGTATTACAGTAGTGGGAGGGAGAAAATTACATCTGTGTGTGTGTGTGTGTGTGTGTGTGTGTGTGTGTGTCTATAAATATATATGTGTATATATATATATATGTATATATATGTAGGTAGGTAGGGAGATAGATGGCACAGGGTGACTTGAAGATGAAGGGGTGAAATCTGGAAAATAAAATTAAGAGGTGAGAGGATTATACTGGAGAAGGAGAAAGGGAGAGATAGAATGGGGTAAATTATCTCACATAAAATAGACAGGAAAAGGCTTTTATAGTGGAGGAGAAATGGGGAAGGTGAGAGGGAATGAGTGAATCTTATTCTCATAGGTTTTGGCTTAAGGAGGGAATGACATACACAATTGGGTATGGAAATCTATCTTACCCTACAGCCAAATAAGGGGGGAAAGGGACAAGAGAGCAGGGAGATGATAGAGGGGAGGACAGATTGGGGGAGTGCATAATCAGAAGCAAACACTTCTGAGGAGGGACAGGGTTAAAAGAGAGAATAGAATAAATGGGTGGTGGGATAGGATGAAGGGAAATACACTTAGTTTTCCACAACATGACTACTATGAAAGTGTTTTGCATGACTACATATGTATAACCTGTATTGAGTTGCTTGCCTTTTCAATGAGGATGGGTGGGGAGGGAGGAAGGGAGAAAATTTGTAACCCAAAGTTTTAAAAACACATGTTAAAAAAAATATTTGGTTTTACATGCAACTGGGAAATAAGAAATACAGGAAATGGGGTATAGATATCTATCCTGCCCTACAGGAAAATAAAAGGGGAAGGGGATAAGAGAAGGGGGGGAGAGATAGAAGGGAGGGCAGATTA